GTGTGTGTGTGTGTGTGTGTGTGTGTGTGTGTGTGTGTGCGTGCACGCGCCTGCGTGTGTGGGCTGCGTGCATGCTTGCGCGCATGCCGGCGCACGTGGTGCCCTGGCACCCAGCTATTCCGAGAGGGCACACCCACCTCTGACGCAAGCTGTGAGCGCGTGATGACCGGCACAAACACAGGTTGCCACCCAGACGGCGGCCCCATGTTCTTGCCATTGGACTGCTGCTCTTGCTGCTCTTGCTGCTGCTGCTCTCCCTCCTCCCTGCCGTTTCCGTCACTCTCCGCGTCCGTCCCCGCCTCTGCGCCGGCCCCAGCCGCATCCACATCCCCGTCCGCAGCGCCTCCGTCGGCGAGCAACTCATCGTCAGCCCCGTTTTCCTCCCCCGTCCCCAGCCCGTCGTCCAAGCAGCCCGACCACTCCTCTACAAACACCTCCGGGTGCAGCGCCGCCTCCTGGAGCGTCGGCCACTCCTCCGGCGCCAGAGCGGGCGGGAGCGGGGGCCGCTGCTGCTGCTGCTGCTGCTGCTGCTGCTGTTGCTGCTGTTGCTGCTGCCGCTGCTGCTGCTGCTGACGCGGTGGCGGCGGCGGCAGCACCTGCAGCGCTTGCTGCGCCAGCTGCTGCTGCCGCCGCTGCTGCGCCTGGTAGACCTCTGTGTCTGCCAGCATGGCCGCGTACACGTCGCCGCTCTCGGCCGCGCGCCGCGACGCCTCCAGCGCGCGCCTGACATCTTCGTCCTCGTCCTCGTCCGCATCCCACCCGCTGGCGCCCCCAGGGCTGGGGGGACCGCCACTGCCGCCGCCCCCGTCCAGCTGCATCAGCGCCGCCTCCCGCGCGTCCGCCGCCGCGGCCGCGTCCGCGGCGGCCTGCTCCGCGGCGGCCTCGCGGGCGGCGTCGAGGCGGCCGAACTCGAACTCCACATCCCCGAAGTCGGGGCCGGCGTGCCCGTGAGCGCCGTGCTCCCCGTCCTCCATGGCTGGAGCCCCCTCAGCTGCCGCCAGGTCGTCCCCGTCGTCCTGCCCCTCCTCAAACAGCACCTTCTGCTCCAGGGCCGGCCAGCGGATACGGGTTGTCCTGCAATTAAAGGGGGGCGTACAGGGTGGACAGTGAAGCGTCGGTGATGACAGGTGACATCAAGAGGCAGTTGGTGTGAAGGGGTCCAGGTGGGGGGGGGGTGCCGGTTGCCAGGCACGGCCCAACATGTGAAGAGCAGGCCAGTTGCTGTGCTTGCAGGTTTACCTTGTACTTTGCAGGTTTTTACCGTCATTTCAGGGGCAGTTGCATCAATAGTCGTACAAGCAGGCAGCCGCAGCCTCCCACCCAACAACCAACGGCCCCCCCTGCCCTCCAGTTGGTCAACCCCGCAAGACCAAACCCCCTTGAGACCTCCCATCCCACTGCACCCGTCCAAGGAACCCCGCAATCCCACCAACTCCCCCGCTTCAACGAACGCGACACGGCTGACCTGCACATGCCCCTCTTGCGTGTCACCAGGCCGTCCCTCTCCAGCTGGGCCACCGCGTCAGACGTGGCAGTCAGCGAGTAGCCGGTCTCGTCCTCCAGGACCTGGCGATTATTTTGGGGGGGGGGCAGGGGGCCAGGAAACAACATTGTTCGTCACTAATAAACGAGGGAGGCCTGAGCATTCCAGTGAGGGGAATTGGTGGGGGGAAAGGTGGCGCAGGGGAGCGTGCTTGCGGGGATGAGCGCGGAAGGCGAAGCACGGCCTGGGCCGGCACGTGCCGGAATCACGTGCCGGAATCGAGCGGCGCCGGTAGCTGGTGAAGCTGGCAAATCGAGACGTCATTCCTTTTTTGTCCGCGAGAGCCTCGCCATCAGCAATGAGCAGTGCGGAAGCACTATGCTGCACTGCATTGTGGCGTTGCGAATCGCGCTCGCCCTTTGAGCACCCACAGTACAATCACCTGTGTATCATACTCGAGCCATATGCCCGCCACCCCTCCAATGTCCTCGGCCACGTTGGTGGCCTCGTGGAGGGTCTCGGGGAGGAGGGGGTATCGAAGGGGGTGCGTTGGAAGGGTGCTAGGATTTGACCAGAAGGGATCTGGCGGCCGGGGCGAGGTTTGGTCAGGGTGAATGGAGCTGTGCGATCCTGGTCGCTCGGGGTCTCCTAGACCCGGCTGCGGTGTGCTGCGCCGTGCTTTTCCTAGCTCTCACGCTCTCTTTGTCTGAGACTGCCCCGCTATTCAACACCCACCCCCTCCTGCCGCTCTTCGTCCCGTTTGGACCACACAGTTGGCCCACCTGCAGCACCCTGCTGACAACATCGCTCCAGGTGATGTCGGCGCTGTTGAGGGAGTCCAGCAGGTTGATGACCTGGGGGGGGGAGGCCAGCAGGGGGCGAGGGGTGTCAGGGGGGAGGGGGGAAATAACAATGAGGAGAG